TTAAAAAAATTAGCTCAAGTATTAGATGAAAGAAAAACTTTATCATTTGAACTGCGAGGTTTATTTATATATCTCTTTGTTATAGATATGTGTTATTTTAAGATTTTAGTATTTCAATATAAATTATTAAATTAATTAACCTTGATTTATCTTAAGTGAACTTATTGATAGTTATCTTAATAGAAATATTATGCATTATAAAAGAATTGAAATGGCTATGACTACATATTTTTTCTTATATTTATAGAAATATTATGTTGAAACTCTTAGCACTATTTACCCTTTATATATATCTGTTTCCAAAAACTTTCTATCAATACAAATGTTTAATATTATGATTAGTTTAGTTGAATCTTTGGTCCTTTTAGTCAAGATTCATAGAGATTATTACAAGTATATATCCTTATTACTATGAAAACATAGTACTGAATCTTGTGAATATATTTTTGGAATTGCTCGTCAATTTCATATAGATTTTATATATTTAGAAATTCTTCAAATGGTTTCAAAAATTGGGCAATATTTCAGAACTATTCAATCAGATGATTTGCTATTTATGAAAGAAAAAACAGTATATGAAGGTAAATATTATTTAATTAGTTTTAATTATGTTGCATTTAAAATAGCGATCTATCTAAAGTAGCTACTAAAGTTTGGAACTGGTTTTATTTTCATATGGTAAAACCAATTAAAACTGGGGTTAACACATAAAAAATAAAACTATTACAAACTCTAGTAGCTACTTTAGATATAACAATTCTATATATATATTATATATTATTAATTTGATCTGAAACTTCTAGGATATAATTTTAATAAACATGAAGGGGTTGACTTATCAGACGATAAGCTTGAATGTTTACAATATTGGCTATCTGTTATTAAAATTGATGATGCAATTAGTACAAATTACAAAAAAGCTATTCATTTAGCAAGATATTTAGAAATGACTACTACACTAAAAGATGCTTACTACTTTAATATTCATAAAAAATTTTCTACTTCACTTGAAGACTTTTGTGATGGCAATTCAGATCTTGAAGCTTGTAATAATGAAGAATTTAATACAGATAGTTTGTCTGTTTCTCAAAGCATTAATTATGCAGTATCTGAAATGAATATAACTCAAGAAGAGTTTAATTCGGGCTCATGAACAGAAACCCTGATAGAAAAAAGTTATGAGGTTTGTCAAGTAATCATAGAACAAATTCAAAAGTTATCTAACATTCTGTGGTTTTCGAATAGTAAGCATTAATAGTTTTGGCAATATAGCTTTAGTTTAAATTATTATTGATTTAGAATTTCATATATATAGATCCTATAATTGATTTTGATCACATCTTGGATAATAGAGCATTAAACATTGAATTCTTATTGGATTTGCGCCAATGTCATGATGCCTATTCTAAAAAGAAACTTGAACAAATTAAGTTCCTTTTTAAAACTAGTAATGAAAATAATAGTTCAAATGAATTTAATATTAATAAAGCTAGTAGTTTAG